TCCTTTTCTTGTTGCCGGGCACTCTTACGATTGCCCTACAACCCCAAACCTTGAGATACTTCAAGTTTGGCTTTCTTTTGTACCAAAGTTCATAAGGAGTAGATTCTTTTCCCTTAGTAGGAACCCGGTTAAGAATGTGACAAGCTGTCAACATTGCTTCACCCCAGAACCCTTCACTCAAACCAGAGTAAGATAACATGGAATTAACCATTTCTTCAAGAGTTCTATTTTTCCTTTTAGCTACACCATTTGCTTGTGGTGCATAACCCGCTGTAGTCTCATGAATTATACCCAAAGATTGGAATAATCTGGATCATAATATTCCCCTCTCTTATTAGTTCTAATTCTCTTAATTAATGACTCTACTTGCAATCCTACTTCTCTTTTATAAATATCAATCTTTGTTAAAGCTTCATCTTTGTAATGCAAAAGATACACATAACAAAACCTAGAATAATCATCTATAAATGTAATCATGTATCTTTTGTTCCCCAAAGAAGGAGTACTATGAAAATCACGCAAGTCACTATGGATCAGTTCTAAAATATTAGAACTTCTCTCAACTCTCTTAAAAGGAATTCTAGTGATCTTGTTCAACATGCAAGTAGAACATTTATTAGGAGAAATATCACAAGAAGGTATCAATTCTTGTTTGGACATAAAAAGCATTTTATTATAATTCACATGTCCTAACCTTGAATTCCATAAATCAAACAAACTCAAATCAACTTGATTAACATTCTCAACAACATTCAAACACAAATCATCCATAACACAACATTCTCTCAATGAGAGTTTAAACAAACCATTATCCAAATAACAACGACCTATGAATGTTACACCCCTAGTAATTATGCATCTATTAGCTTCAAATACAAGCTTATAGCCAAAACTATTCAGGGTAGGCCCGGATACAAGATTCCTACTAATTTCCAGAGCATACAAAACATTCCTAAGAATAATTGCAGTCCTCAAACTAAACACAAGCTCAACTTGTCCTCTTCCAAGAACCTTGATGGTAGAGTTGCTCCCCATGTAGAGGTATTCTCCATCAACAACCTTTTGAAAGGTTTTGAACCAATGTTTACTCTTGCACACGTGCCTTGAAGCCCCCGACTCAATCCACCATGAGTCATCATCCTGCACCATAAAAATGTTAGGATCTGTTGCATTTAAATCCAAACCGGAATTAAATTCAACCTCATGAATTGGATTACCTTTAGTGGGTGGGTCCTTGCTTTCATTAGCACGACCCTCCTTGGCTTTCTCCATCCTTTTCTTGAAAGAAAAACAGTCCTTCTTGCGGTGACCAACCTTACCGCATTCCCAACAAGCAAATTTGTTATTGTTTGCTTGCTTTTTGGACTTTCCTTTGGAAGAATTATTATTCTTCCTCTTTGCACTAGTAGATACACTAGCTCTTCCCTCATCTACCATATTAACGGTAGATGTGCTAGGATTTCCATCCTTAGCTCCTTCCATGGCACGTATCCCTTCTTCAATTTGAAGATGGGTGGCCAAACCGGACAATGTCATGTCCTCTTTCTTATGCTTTAAATCATGTTTAACATTCTTCCAACTAGGGGGTAATTTGTAATAATGCTAGAAACAACAAACAACTCATTCATGGCTATTCCATGTTGTTCCAAGCTACCATAGATTCGTTGCAATTCATGAAATTAGTCCATTATGGACCGACCATCAACAAATTTAAAATTATTAAAAATGCTAACTAAGAATTTCTTACTTGATGCATCTTCCACCATGTACTTGCTTTCTAAGGACTCCCAAATCTCCTTAGCCGACTCAATATTTTGATAGACATCAAATAAATCATCCTCCATACCATTCAAGATATGACCACGACAAATAAAATCATCGTTGTCCCATTTCGACCTCTCTTGAACGGATTCCAAGGTCTCATTCTCATGTTCATCCGGCCTTGGAGTACTTATCACATAGGCAACATTTAGAGATGTAAGAAGAAAATACATTTTCTTCTTCCACCTTCTAAATTCAACACCATCAAACTTCTTGAGTTTGACAAAATTTGTTGTTGATTCCTTCACACTAGACATACTTGACAAATTCTAAGATTAAACCTCTTTAGATTGTTAGGATTTACAGCGATTTCAATCAAGAAAACACTTAAACAATGTGTTCAGCCGGCCTTGGAGTACTTATCACATAGGCAACATTTAAAGATGTAAGAAGAAAATACATTTTCTTCTTCCACCTTCTAAATTCAACACCATCTAACTTCTTGAGTTTGACAAAATTTGTTGTTAATTCCTTCACACTAGACATACTTGACAAATTCTAAGATTAAACCTCTTTAGATTGTTAGGACTTACAGCGATTTCAATCAAGAAAACACTTAAACAATGTGTGGGAACAAATCCTAAAATATAAGATTACAATTCCAATTGTAAATATCAAATACTAAACAAAGTATTACAATCAAGTATTTGAATTGTCAATGAAATTACAGAAAAATACAAAGAATACACTAGTGTGAAGAATCAAATTTACCTTTCCTCCAAGCCGTTAATTCCAAGCATGAACATGAGAAAACCGATGTCCCGTAAGACTAATACCTTGATACACAGTCAAAGGCGTGTAAACACTTTCCCGAAGAGGTTTATTTCCCCCACACGGTACTTAGGTTAAACCGGAAATCCTCTTTGAGATACAATTGACAGCAATTTCGTTCTTAGTACTAGAATCGAAATCAAGATGACAATTCACCAAATTTGGATTTATTGAAAGAGTTTTCTCACAAAAGTTTGCAAGAAATTTGAGAGAAAAATGTGGAGAATTCTACTTGGGGAGATGAAGAGTAATTTCTGTATCTTTTTCTTTCATGAAATAAGTCTTTTAATAAAAGACTCAACCGTCAGAAAAAATCGCAAAACAGGGAGGCGCGGGCGCTTTACCAGGAAGAGCGGGCGCTCCTCAAGGTGGAGTGCGCACTCCTATATTAGGGGCGGGAGCTCCTCACAAAATTTGCGAGATTTCACAAAAAAGGCAGTGAGGGGCGCGGTTTAGGCGCGACCAGCAACGCGGGCGCGCGCCAACCAAGACGCGCGGGCGCGCCATCCTCACCCTTCCAATTTGCCAATTTCCAGAGAGATGCGCGGTTTAGGCGTGCTCTCTGCGCGGCCGCGCCTACCTTGCGCGGGCGCTCTTCATGGTTCGCGAGCGCGCAACCATCAACACTCCAAATATCCAACAACGTGTACCTTGATCACTATGGCAAAGATGTGTACGTGAGGACCCGAAGATTGCTTAGGCACGATCACCCATATCGTAGGCAGAAAAAGGCCTTCAATGGGAAAGTGGAAGAGGGGGCTGCACCTAGGCCATTGAGTGGAAAGGAGTTGTATGGTCGAGTGAAGGGTATACCAACTGTGTTTGGTAAAACATCGAAACCTGTACACCCACATGCTCTCTTTAAAAAGGAATCGATCTTTTGGAAGCTTGAGTACTGGAAAGAACTTGATGTTAGACATTGTCTCGATGTGATGCATATAGAGAAGAATGTTTGTGATGCAATTGTTGGGACAATTATGGGTATTCATGGCAAAATAGATGATGGAAAGAATGCGCGATTAGATTTGGAAGAGTGGGGGGTTCGTCCAGAATTGTGGGTCCAGCCATAGGTAGGGAAGGCAAAGGTAATGGAAAAGGGAAGCGAAGATGGTAGCAAAAAACGTAAGGGGAAGCGCAAAGGAAAGGGCACCAGTGTATCAAAGAAGAAAGATGATGGAAAAGGCAAGAATGAAAAAGTTTACTTACCTCTAGCTTGCTGCACATTGCCAAAGGAAGAAAAACGGAAGTTTTGTGCTTGTTTGTATGCATTAAGTTTTCACTTGGTTTCTGGTCAAACATGAAAAGATTTGTTTCCTTAAACGGAGAATTGAAGTTGACAAGTATGAAATCCCATGATTGTCACATGATGATGCAGGTATTCCTATCGATTGCAATTCGTGGTATTTTACCGAAGCACGTGGGAGAAGCTATTACAAGCCTTTGTTTGTTTTTCAATACTATATGCAGCAAAGTGCTTGATCCTTTTACACTTGATGCTCTCCAGGCGAATGTTGTTGTAACTTTGTGCATATTTGAGATGTATTTCCCACCGTCATTTTTTGACATAATAGTGCATTTGATTCTTTATTTGGTTCGTGAGATTTAGTTGTGCGGTCCAGTCTTTATGAGGTGGTGCTATCCTTTTAAAAGACACATGGGTACATTGCAAGATAAAGTCAGAAATCCAACCCATCGAAAACGTAGTATGATTTAAGGGATTGTGGCTGAGGAGATTGGTAATTTCGTGGCAGTGTATGTTGTCGTTGCCGAACCTATTGGGCTTCCCACATCCCGACATGAAGGGAGACTTGATGGTCGCGACACACTCGGGTCAAAACGGATCTCACCTACTCGAGATTAGTTTTTGCAAGCTCACCTATTCGTGCTTCATCATGTTGCGAAGGTTCACCCATATTTAGAAGAGCACATGGATAGTTTGTGTCAAATTTCCATCAAAAGGGGAAAGGGCACTAATGCAGTTGCATATTAAAATGTTTGTGACGTGGTTCCATGATCGAGAGATGCATCAATTGGATAAGAGTGTCTCTAATACAATAAAGTGGCTAGCTTATGGTCCAAACACTAGGCGGAAAATACAAATGGGCACCGGTTCAAAACTCCCATTTAGCACCGGTTTTGAACCGGTCCTCATTTGAGGGATGCCAAAAACCAAAAGATTTCGCACCGGTTCTTGCTTTGAACTGGTACTAAAAATGGCCCAAAAAAATTAAAAAAAAAAACTTTTAGCACCGGTTCTTGCTGTGAACCGGTGCTAAAAGTGGCCCAAAAAAATAAAAATAAAAACTTTTAGCACCGATTCTGTTTCAAAACCAGTGCCAAAAATGCCCCAAAAAATAAAAAAAAAAAAAAAAAAAAAAAAAAAAAATTGCATTTTTTTCAATTAAATTGTTATAGAAACACTAACATATATATATAAAGTTACATATTTTCATATTTTTCTGTTTTTGGCTGTTTTGGCTCCGGCTGGTGTGTGCTGGTTTAGGCTGCTGATTTCTGTGCTGCATGCTGCTAGCTTGTCTCTGCTTCTGCCTGCCTGTTCTGTTGCATGCAGTGTGTTGCAAGGTGTTCTGGCTGCTGTGTGTCTTCTGTCTGCACTGCTACTGTTGTCCTGCTTCTGCACTGCTACTGTTGCTCTGCTTCTGCTTGCTCTGCTTCTGCTTGCTGTTGTTATAACTTTTGCTACTGTTGTTTTGTTGTCTGCTCTATTAGCCGCTCAGTCAGCTGCTGGCTCTGTAGCTGCTGTTCTGTTGCCTGCTCTTTCAGCTACTGTGATGCTGCTAATTGGTTGTTGGCCTGGTTTTGCAAAGCCTGTTATGTTCACATAAAAAGTAGGTTAGTTACTAGTAAAGTAAAACTGCCACTGTATAGCAAGCATGATACAATAGTTGCTAACATTATTATCTTGTCATTTTTCTTAGTATCCTTTGAATAGTAAATTATTTGGATTTAGTAGATTAATAATAATTCATAACATGACTTAATCATGCTCTATGAAATAGAAAATCATGTCTTCAACGGGTAATGATCTCTTAAAAATAGAATTCAAGAGAAGAATGCAATTAGTCAGCCCAAAGTGTTGATTTCAACAAGTAGAGACAAGCTTATCGAGTCTAAAATACATATAGTTCACTAGCAATCCCTATTAGCTACTCTCTTATAAACATATATAAAAAAAAAATAGCAATGCCAAGCTGAAACAAATTACTGGGATAATAAAAAATATTCAACCACCACAGTTAGTAATGTTAGCTTATAACAGGGCAAGAAACTATAAAACAAGGAATTTTCACCTCTTAATTTGTCTTATCACTAGAGAAATGATTTGAGTGATCCACGTCCCTAAGTAAGACACTTAACTCACCAAGAAGCTCAAACCGCTCATTAACTAAGCTTCCCGTCTGGAGATCTTTCTTCAAAGAGACCTTGGGATAGCTGTGCAATTGAGTTGAGACTGTTTGTTGGGATGTATTACTAGATGCATAGTTAGATGGTACCCCATATCCTCCACTTGAGTCAATATTAAATTTATTGTCTGTCATTTGCTTAACTATTTCATGGAAAGCGCTCTGACACATTACCCATTACCCAAACAAAGCATTAGAGACAAATAACAGAAGAATTAAAAAAAATATTTGGACATAAATGAATTTAGATTATCCTTGCATCAGAATCAAGAGTATTTAAACATGAATAAAAGTTGTGCAGGAATGGTAAGAAATAGTTCGGAAACACAGTGCCAGCATAACTCTGCAGATAACCTTCAGCAGATAATCGTTCATCTGGATTCAACTGGATCATGCGAAGAATCAGCTTCCGTACTCCTGGATCAGGGATCTGAAATGATGGTAGACATTTAATTGAATTTAAAAGCCAATCTCGCTGGTATTTCAAGATGCATTTAGATGCAATACCTTCTCAAGATGCTGACTAGGATCATATTGCCCTCTCTGGTAAGCAAGCAGCTCCGAAAGTTCAAATAGTGGATGGCCCTCAAGGAAAAGCTCTGCTATCACACAACTAAAAATAAAGAAAGCAATAATTTAAAAACAAAAGATCAAAAAAATATCATGAAGAAACATGAAAATTAAAGGAACAAACACAAATAAAAAGCGTTTCTACAGAAAAAAAATACTTCGTGTCTTTGTGGATATTAAGGAAGAAAAAATTACTTTACAGACTTCTCAAACTAACTCAAGTTATTGAAATATCCAATCTTTATAAAATCAAAACAAGCTCACGCCTGCACTTTGCTAGTAAAAGATACTACATACATAATAAAAACTCACCCTACTGCAAAGATGTCCATAGATAGCTTAAGCGGTGCATCAGGCGCGACTGGCATATCATCTCCATGCTCATAAAATCTCTGTAATATATGACAATAGAGATTGTGGGTACGTGATTACAACAACGACAATAACAATCAAAGCTTTAATCCCAAAGACAAGTCAGTATATGGGTGTAATATTTCATTGAAAAAAAAAACACAAAGTGTAGACTGGGTTATCGTGAAGGAGCAATAACATAACCAATTGGTTCGAAACTTCGAAATAAGGCTCAATTGCCACATTAGAATGGTTTCGAAACTTGTCTCCAATGCACCTATGTCAATCTCCTATGCATAGTTTAAGTTTCATACTTGGATGTGACATATTTCCTTTTCCCAGCAACCATATCAGGATGAGTAAAAATTCATGAACTCTCAACTAGCAAGACCCAACATTATTTTTGGGGGTATATTACCTACAGTAACCTTGGTGTACTTTTTCAAATTTATGCACCTAAAAAATTATCTCTTTTTAACTGAAAAATTGCCCACATATATCAAAACTTTCTTAAGTTTGTAATATCAGGTCAGCATCAACTCTATAAATTCAACCATAGCAGCAGAATTTATTGCCTTTGGATACTAGGTTATTTTAAGAGAAATTGTGCACTTCATGGTTGATTTTGAGATTAAAATTTAGAGTAATTTGAAAAATGGTTTAAAGTATAGAATTTCCATAGAAATTTGTCATCTATAATTAGAAATTATTAAGTTGCTATATTCAGATGCTGCATTCAAAAAGTGATAAAAAAAAGCCACAGTTCTTCCAAGTTTCAATATAGCAACAAGTAGCTTATGAGAGCACAGGGAATAGTTATAATATTATAAACAATAAACATGTAAATAAGATTACAGCAAGTAGCTTATGAGAGCACAGGGAGTAGTTATAATATTATTAACAATAAACATGTAAAGAAGATTATAGCAACAATAACCTACCTCAGGTGCGAGATTACAGAGCCTTCTTCCCCCAATATCAAAGAAAAATGAGAAATCAGATGGATCGTCATCAGGAATATAGGTTGGTTTAAAAGATGCAAAGTCAACCAGGTAAACCCAATTCCAAGAAGTAACCAACACATTCTCACACTTAGTATCACCTCCAAAATGAAAAACCAAACACCAAATTATACACAATGCAAACCCATAAAAGACAAAACACAAAATTACCACAATGTAGTCACTTACCATGACAAATATCATGCTCGTGACTCTACTTCAATGCACACATAAGCTGAAAGCAAGAATTTGAGATGCCAAAGTGATCAATTAATCCAATTCTAAAAGGACATACAAAGATGTAGAGTAGGAAAAAACTACAGGAAAACCTGAAAAGCAAGCCATTTCTTCTCAATTAGGCTAAGAAAAGGCCTTGTACTGAGCCGATCATGGAGATTATTGAAGAAATACTGCCTGAGCAGATAAGCCGCCTTTTCGGTTTCCAGCCAAAACTTCTCACACCCAGTTCAATACCATCAATATTAGAACTGCCCATATTGTCAGAAGATAAAGGAAAAAAATAAAAAAAAATAAAAAAAATACATTACACAGCCAGCCAACAAGCAAGTTCAATCCCAACAATTGAGAGCACCCACAACTCCACAAGATCAACTCAAGCTCATCAATAGTACCAACATCACCAGCAGAGAAGAATTCTCATACTGTTCCAAACAATGCCAGCAACCCGAAACATCGCTTCCTCAATCGCAAATCCCCACATAATCAAAATATAGAAACCCCTTCCCTACCACCAATACCCTCCCCAAAAAAACCAAAATCTTGCAGCAACCTAGTCGAAATTCCATCAACCCCAGAAATACCCACATAGAAAAACTTCATATTTCCAAAATTTGACAGAAAACAGCTCAATTACATAAGAATAATCATCGTTTTCCAAATCAATGGTCAAAATTATAATACAATTAACAAGTTGAAGGATCAAAATTTTCAAATAATATCAGCTATATAGTTCAATTATCTCTGAATCCGCGAAAATTCAGCACAAACTATCCAAAAAACCATTACCCAGAAACTTAAATCAACTCAAACTACATATATTTGAAAAAATAAAGTTAAATCAACTCAAACAATCATCATTTACAACATTCAAACTGAAAAAACATCTAAATTGATTTTCTATCATTACAAAGAGAAACATCTTACCTAGCATCATCAGCTTCAATTATAACCTATAGTGTTTAATAATCGATTATAGAAGAATCGAACTGGCTAAGGAGGAGGACGCGAGGAAACGTCAATGGTGAATGTAGAGTGCACGCTTCTATGGTGGGCTAGAAGAAGATGAGAGGCTCTCTGTGGGGAATAAGAGTGACAACAGCTGATTGCAAAGCAAAGGAGCATTAGGGTTTTTTTTTTCAGTTTGAGGAAAGAGAAGGAGATCGAAGGAGAGAGAAGGAATTTAGGGTTTCCATTGTTGAGAGGAGGAGAGATCGAGGAAAGAGACAGAAAGAAGACAGAAAGAGTAAGAAAGAAGATAAAAATGGCCGGGTTTTTTTTTTACAATAGCTTTCGCACCGGTTTGAACCGAACCGATGCGATTAACTTATTTTCGCACCGGTTTGGTTAGAACCGGTGCGAAAAATCTTCCCCTCTATCCCGCCTATTTTTTTTCGCACCATTTTGCAGTGCCTATTTCATTTTTTTCTACTAGTGAAAGGAAGATGTTCATTCATTTGAGGGATATGACATAAATGGGTATACATTCTGGATTGAGCATCGTGATAAAAAATCCTCATCGACTCAAAATAGTGGTGTCACTCTTGTGACTTCATCAAGAGAGTTTGCAAGTGCGAAGGATACAGCACTAGTTGACGCTCAATTATCCTACTACGGACGAATTCAGGAAATATGGGAACTAGATTACCGTGAGTTCAAGGTAGGTCTATTTAAGTGTAAATGGGTCGATAATAATAGGCGCAACTTCAGATTTGAGGACTTCACTCTTGTAGACCTTGGCCACTTGCGGGATAGTTTAGAACCATTCATTCTTGCATCTCAAGCTAAGCAAGTGTTCTATGTAACCGACCCAGCCGATCCAAAATGGTCCATCAGCCTTGCTGGCAAAAGAAGAATTTTAGGGGTTGGAGATGTTGAAGACGAGGAAGAATATGATGTGTTTGATGATTCACCCCCTTTCACTACCCCTAGACTTGATGTAGCAAATGATGTAGACAATGATGCAAATTATATTCAATTAGACCACAATGAGGGAATACTCGAATGAGGTACTTTTATTTGTGCATCATAATAACAATCCTATTGTTAGAAGGATTAGATGTGTATTTGGGATGATAATAAAGATGTTAGGTAAGTTAGAAGCTCATTTTAGGATTTTTTTTTAAAACTATTTTTGCTCCTATAACCTTGTATTAGCATGAAATCAATGACTTTTAAGCATTTTCAATTTATAAACATGTTATGTATACCAAATATGAGTTGTTAGAAGGATTAGATGTGTATTTGGGATGATAATAAAGAAGTTAGGTAAGTTAGAAGCTCATTTTAGGCTTTTTTAAAACTATTTTTGCTCCTATAACCTTGTATTAGCATGAAATCAATGATTTTAAAGCATTTTCAATTTATAAACATGTTATGTGTACCAAATATGAGTTGTTAGAAGGATTAGATGTGAACTAGTAATGAAAATAAAGAAGTTGGGAGAGTTAGAACCTCATTTATGCCATTTTGAACTTCTTTCGCTCCTACAACCTTGTTTTTGCATGAAATCAATTTCTTTTTAGCATTTTCTTATCTTTAGTGATGACTAATTATTTGCTTTGCTTGTGATGGTAGGTGTGTATATATCATGGGTAGTGATGAGTACCCTCACTATGATGAGGATATGGATGATCAAGACTGTGGTAGTTCTCACTCTGATGACGAGTTGTATGATATCAATAAGGAGACAGATTTGGGTGAACCAGAAGACCAAGCTCACAATGAGTTGCACCGTAGCCTTGACGAATATGATATAGCAGCTGAATGTGCCCCCCTATTAAGGATTATGTTATTTCCGAGTTTGTGAGAGATTCACAAGGACAAATTCACACGCAAAGTCAAGTGAACACCACCGGTGGTGGAGAAGGGGTAAAGGCACCGGTGAAGAGAAAGGTTAAGGGTGCAACAAAAGCTTTTAAGAAACCCAGGGTTCCCATGGTTCTTGAGTATGACGAGTTGGGTCAACCTACTGGCCAATGGCGCAGAAAATATTCCACTCACATTGGCATACTTACTTGTAAAATACCCATTACACTTGAGTGGCCCAAGATACCTAAAGGGTTGCTTCAAACGTTTTGGGATGATACAATGGTAAGTGGTTTTTATTCGCGTTTTTGGCAAAAAACTTTGTACATGAATTCGAAAGAGGCAAAATCCAAACATAAATACGTCGTTGCCTACGGCTGCTGCGTGGGCTGCATTTTATTTTTATTTTTTTTTGTGCCCTTGACTAATGTGGACGTTTGTCATTCGTACAGAGTGTGTTTAATATTTTTGATGAGTCAGTCAAGAGAAAATCATTTGAAGCTTTTGTACAAGATAGATTCAAAAACTTCAAAAGTTCCTTGAGAACAAGATGGATCCATAAGAAACAAAGGAAAAGATCGAAGAAAAATGCGAAACCTACTAGAGGAGAGGAGGAACCTGAGAAGGAACCATGGGATGTATATCCACAAATAACGGTGAAGGACTAGGAGAAGTTTATGGCGAAATCAACTACTACTACTGCACTTGTATGTAGTTATATACCAATTAGAGTTGTTTAATAAATTTGGTTCACTACAAATAATGATGCAAACATTTCTTAATGTGTAGGAAAAAATTCAACAAGCTACAAGCAATGTTGAGAAGAAAATGTATAGCCATCATATGGGTTGTAAGTCATTTGCGGAAAGTAGACCAAAGTGGATCAAAGAGGGACTATACCCCACATCCAAAATATCATCATCTGATAAACCGCTTTCATCCATGGTCACAACTTTGGTAAGTCGTGCAAATGACTGGGGGTGTGGTATGCATGGGATCGACAAGAAAACCGGAAAGTATGTCATCATGCATCCGGATACAAAAACAGTAGCAGATGCACTTGTAAGCACCCTATGATACTTATGCTAATATTGCACCCTTATTATTATATATTTCCAAAGAAACTACATCTAACTTAGAACTGGAAACTTTTGGTTGTGTTGTTACAACTCGAGCATACGTCGGAAGTGGTTGAAGGCAAGCTCACTCCAAGCATAGACAACGATCCTTTTACCTTGGCTTTGGGAAAACCATACCACCTTGGGTGAGTTATTGGTTCGAGAGGGAAACAACTAGGGTGGGAAAAGGTTATGGGTTCAAAATACACTAGATTAGGAAGAACTAGATCAAGTGTTAATTCGCCACACCATATGGATGCCAAGGAAAAGGAATCAATTAAGGCGGAGATACGCAAAGAAGTGCAAGAACAATTGGAAAGTCAATTCAATGCCATTTTGAAGCACATGAACTTGTCGTTGCCCTCGATTACCCCAGTGGACTCATGTAGTCACCCGAAAGACGCCGGGGATGATCCACTTGTTGAGAGCTAGGTAATTTCATTACAATCAAATTGCAAAACATGAAATTGGTCAAACGAGGCCTTATATAGCATAATTACTTTACTATTGCAGATTCCTAGTCCTACGCATGCAGACTCAAGGGAGATTGCAAATCCGACACCTGATCCTTTTCTAGATGTTAAGGTAAACTTCAACAACTAATCAAATGTGCTTGTATTAGGCTTACGTTGGTTAATTAGTTCATAACTTGTCCTAATCAAATGTGTAGGAAGAGACTCCTTGTAAGCTTCTTCACCCCGGGAAAAACATGGATGGAGAGTTGGTGGGGTATGGTAACGCACAACCGTTTGACTAGGTCCATTTCAAGTCTAATACTAGTACCCACTATATCTCGGTTGGAATAAATTTTATAGTAGCTGGGTTTGAGGACTTACCACTACCGATGCCTAGAGAGGAATATGAATTCTTCATGCTGCTTGATGCGAAAAAGTAGCTTTGTGCAATGGCCACATGATCGGGTGAGGTTGATAAGAAGGGTAAGTATACACTACTTAGCTTGTTTTTAAAACATGTCGCAAATATCTTGTACTATAACCATGTACTTTTATGTTACTAGATTATAAAGGAAAATCAGTCCTCTAAAAGGAAGAAGGTGGAGAAGCCAAAATCCAAGAATGTCCAACCTTCAAAGAACATGGAACAAGGACAAGGGTTGAAGGGTGAACACCTGTTGAAGAAGAGTTCGAGAGGTTCTGCAACGAGTTGTACTCCATTAGTAGAAGTCGATGTCCTTCAGTCGCTCTCTAAAGCTTGTACTTTTCTTCACAACCGTGTTAGTGAGTTGCCTAGGGGTAGATCTATAGAAGTGAATTTACCGAAGGAATTGTTCCACTTTGATGAGGATGGGATCACATTTATTACAAGAGTGGATGTGAAGGAATTTCTAACCGGTTCCATGCTTTAAATTTCCATCATTCAAGCTTTCATGAGGTAATTCAACGCTACTATTCCTAATCATATTGTTGTTGTAATTTCGAATGTAAACAATGCAATTAATAATTATTCCCCACATTACTCTCATGAAGGGCACTACAGGAGCACCTTATTGGTTGATGCAATTCTGAGGCTGTAGTTGGGTGGTTTTGCCCCGAGCAGACCTCCATTACCAGATGCTTATGCAACCCTTGTGACGTGGAAGATTACCTTGAATGGAGTATTAAGGAATCAACGCATGCGGGAGATAAATTCATATTAGCCCCATGTTTTGAGGAGTACGTCTAAATATGTCATAATTCAGTTGTTTGTTTTTTTTCAAATTCCGAAAATTCAGTTAACTGTGAGTATATATGTTGATGTTTTCTAAATATATGCAGTGCTCATTGGAGCATTTTGGTGATTTGTGTTTCCAATAACAAAATCTACCACTTTGATTCGGCTCGTGAGAATCCACCACGGAAGTTGCTAGTGAAGAACCTACTGAATAGGTACATATTGCTTCCTATTGTTGAATGACCTCACCTAAGTCATTGAGTATTTATGTTTCTCACTTTGAACTTATTTTCCTAAAGTGTTATGAAGAAGCTAAATTGTCGTTCTGTTGCGCGTCCTACGTGGAAATATGCAAAGGTAATGCCTTGATATAATGATTTGCTTAATAAACTTGGCTTCGGTTATGGCTATGCATGATTAGATTACCTTTGTGGCATGTCAGTGTGCATAACAAGACAACGGACTTGATTGTGCCCTATACGTGATGAGGTTAATGCTTGACATAGGCAATAGTTGCACGGAAGCACAACACCTTGATGAGGTATGCTTTTATCTTCTTCCATTTATTACTTGCTTCCATTATTACACCAAACAAAACACAAGCATAACATAGCTAAAATTTGCACCAAGCATCGAACCTAACCCAAGGTAGACTATGTGTCTTGAGTGAAAGTTTCATGTCCAGCTGCATATCTTCAATACTCTAATCTTTTTATAACCTTTTCCGCCAAATTAATGTGATTGAACCTCTTTGTTTTTTTTGAGGTGTTACTGTAGCAACACTAGCAAATGTGTTTCAGATCAACAGCTTTGGTTAGCATTACAATTTGGAGTAGATTTTTTTATGAAATCAGACCCA